TGTATGTATTTAAACAAGACAAAAACTACTGGCCCGATTTCAAAAATTCTTTCATCATTAAAAAGCTTCGTAATCGCTGAATAACATAGGCTATATTTTAACTATTTTATTAATTTCACGCGGGCGAAGTCGTGAGCAACAGCTAGTATACTATATTACTAATAGTTTAATCATCATCATCCTCCTTATCCTACTCCCGTTGGCGCAACAGGTTTTTGTCCTCCAAGTAACTCTATCATACGTCATCTCAGTCATCACTCCCTTTCTGATCATGTCACCTTTCACGCAATACATCTCTTTCTATGTCTACTTCTACCGGTGTACCACACTCATTACTAACGTTCTTGTAACATGCGATTCATCCCTTTATTACTGATAGTAGCCCCAGTGGTAGAGAAAGTAAGGAGTAAAAGGTTAGCATGGAGGCATGTTATGAGGGATGAATCGCATGTTACAAGGAGAATGTTAGCTATGAGTCTGGTACACTGGTAGAGGAAGACATAAAAAGAGATAGATGATGAAAGGTGATATTACGGCCTATAACGGACATATTAAACCAGAAAGTTTAAATGTATGGATGTTTGTAACTACCTATTTTTTTTTTATTTTATTTTATTTATTTACGGATAACTTACAGCTAGCTTAAAAAACAATAATAAAATAAACAAAAAAATGAAGGCCAATTACAAGTTATCGCAGATAGTCACAAGTATATATTATAATGAAATTCAGTCCTTGTAAATTGTATCACACTACACTTATATGAAGATAAAGATCCCCTTCCACTCACTATCGCGTATTGAAAAAACGGTCATTGAGGATTCGTTTAACTTTAGGTGCCGATATGTTAAATATATCTATACAATCAGAAAGTGCATTATAACATCTGCATCTATCTCCTAATTTTTCATTAAGCGCGAACGGAGTTGATGGCTATACCTAGTATTTACATACATTCGATTGCGTATCTTTATAGTTATCTAACATACAAGAGAACATTTTTCTGGGACATTACGAAAACTGCTTTGCAATATCCGACGAATACAGTTACAAGTGTACTCTTTTCGTAGTTCTATTTGCATTCTGTACTTTCATACGTCTTACTAATATTATAAAGAGGAAAGATTTATATTTTTGTATATGTTGAAATAACTCAAATACTACTGGGCCGATTTCAAAAATTGTATCACCACTAGCTTTAAAAAAAAAAAAAAATAAGTAGCCTATGTGTTCTACCAGACTATTCTCTACATCTATACCAAATTTCATCGACATCCGTTCAGCAGTTTATGCTACAAAATCTAACAAACATCCATCTAAACTTTCGGTTTTATAATATTAATATAAGGTATGATTCAAAAACTACTTTACCAATGATACTAAATTTAAATACCACGAGGACGAAGTCACGAGCTTCACCTACTACCTTAAGGCGATGTATGTTTGGATGGATGTTTGTTAGAGTTCATAGCCTAAACTGATGAACGGATCGCCATAAAATTAGGCATAGATGTATAGCAAATGGAAGAACACAGATTACTTAATCTTTGACAAACCGTATACACTACCAAACCAAGACGCAATATTTGACCTTCAAAATACTTTTTGGTGCGTAAGAGAATCGGATTTCGGTATCTTAAATCTCGATTTCAACTCTAAACTTCAGTTACCTGTCTAGATCAAATTAATTTAAATGTAAACCATACATAAAATACCACGCAACTCAACTACGACGTAAAACACCATAGCAATAAAACTCCATTGCATATAAACACATCAAAAGCAAACCATGAAATTTTTTGCATTCCAATTTGAACAAGCACAAAATCACAATATCAATATAAAATAACTAAATACACTAAACTGGTATTGCTAAAGGTCACTTGCTGAATATTATTTTATTTAGAAAATAAAACGCACGGACGCGTCTATCCACAACGCCGGTTAGCGCGGTACTACACTAGTGTTGGGATAATACAAAAGTCGATAGTGACTGGCTTGATTGATTTATTTTTATTATTACTTTTTCCTGTAACAGGTTACTAGATAGTATTATGGCTTTTCCTTATATGCAACAATTTAAATTAATAAACAGTCGCAATTTACACGTTTTAGTGAATTTATACTTTTGTTGCAACTAAATGGAAATTCAAAAAAAATTGTTGAACGGAATTAGAATTATTTACATATAAAAGAAAATATCACGTGATTTGTTAATGTATTAACCGTGAAAACGGTTATATCACAATATAAATAGGTGTAAATTCCAAGGTATAAATAATACTATTAATATCATTCAAACATTCACAAATTCAGCATAAATAAAAACTCCATTTTTCAAAGAGAATAAAAGAGACAATTTTAATACACTCGTTGTGTCTATTATATCACACCGTTATATAAACTGCGTAGTTTATAGGAAATATCGATATCGATACGAGACCTATGTAACATCACTATCCCCCTCCGCGCCGGCGCACAAATGCAAATAAATACGAGTTATGCGAGACTCATAGCTATCGTGCTAGAGGTAAATTAATTATTGTAATATCGTTTGATACGGTTCTCATTGCCGCACGCATATTCATTATGGGGTAACTCAGGGAGCTCCTCAGTGTAGACTTAAAGAGACAGTAAGTACCTTTTAAATAAACAACCTTCTGAATAGTCCTTTAGTGTACAATGGCGGAAATCAACGATGTTCCATTAACAGAAAAAAAATAGTTTAACAGTGGTAGAGCCCGCTTTAACATCTTTGCACGAATGGGCCGGCTCGCCCGGTGTAATACCACGACCACACAGAAAACAGGCGTGAAGTGGAAGCAACTCCGCGTTTCATCTGATGAGTGTGGTGCCGGAGGCCCAATTTTAGTCCCTTTTCCTTTCCACCCTTTTCTTAAGAGGAAAGGATGGGAGGAAAAAGTGGATTGGACGGTGAAGGAGATGCATAGGAAGGGGAAATGTCCTCTTTATGTGCGTCTCCTCTTCCGTCAATTAGGGTAGGCAACGCATCTACAATAGCGGATGTTTATGGGCAGCGGTCGCTTTCCATTTCGGTGGATTCAGGTGGCCGCTTGCTCGTTTGCCACCTCGTATTATAAAAAAAAAAAAGTTCTATGCAACGAGGCATATTTCGTTTGATACAAATAACTAATTAAGTTAAGTGACCGGTCTTTTTGACCGACTTTCCAAAAGAAGGAGGTACTCAATTCGTCTGTATGTTTTTTTTTATGTGTGTTACGGCATAACTCCGCCGCTAGTGGACCGATTTTGATCATTCTTTTTTTATCCGAAAGGTAGTGCTTGCAGGTGGGTCCCATTTTTTTGTTTGATTTTTGGAGTCTAAGACTACGACGTAGTTAAATAGTTTTTGTACAGTTTAAAAGCTCTGTCTCAATAGTTATTGTTCCGCGTCGTCGTCTCTACATGCACAAACACACTGTGGAATGTAACACCGATAAATTCCCAGATTGTACATTCACAGATTACATATAGAAACAAGTTTAAGTAATATATGACAAAGTGTTTTATTTCTTACTTAATAAATAACAGCGTTGATTTTATCATATTAATATTATAAATGCGAAAGTTTAGATTGATGGATAATTGTTAGAATTTGTATCCTAAACAGCAAAACGGATTACGATGGAGTTTGGTATAGATGTAGAGGATAGTCTGGAAGAACACATGGGCTATATATACACTTTTTTTGAATACCACTCGGATGAACTCGCGGATCAAAGCTATTTTTTTTATAAAATTTCACTACAAAGAGGTACAAACGGCCAACGATTTTGAGATACAAAAATCATAAGTTACGTCAAACTTCATTTGTTTGTAATTATTATTTTAAACTAACTGACGCCCGCGACTTTGTTGTCGTGTAAAAAACACCTAAGTTCCAAATTTCATCCTAACCCTTTCCGCCGTTCTGGATGTACATTAGAAGGTATACACAGAACAATTCAGAAGTAGAACATAGTCCGGCGAAACACGAGCATTACTCTTTTTTAGGTCCTCGCGGACGGACTCACGGGTGCAAGCTTGTACAATATAAAACTCCCTCAACAAGACCATTGTTAACTCAACATTAACGGTATTGCATGGTGAATTTAAAACAAATGAAAACGCTCTTGATTTCATTTACAAACACTACAAAAGCGACATTAATCGATTCGGAGCGAATAATCGAATTCGAAATTGTTGAAATAAAAAACATAATTAAAATAAAATATGTCCATAAACTCGATTATGACACATGTAACGTGCTAGCTTTCGCCACGACTGCATCATCATCTTTCTCCTAATCCTAGCCTATCTGTTCTTGCAGACTATCTCCTACATCTATACCAAATTTCATCGAAATCCGTTAAGCCGTTTCGGCTACAAACTCTAAAAAACATCCATCTAAACTTTCGCATGTATAATATTAGTATGATAGTAGACTTGCTATCAACCGCGGCTTCGTACGCGTTGAAATAAAAAAAATAGCCTATATTTTCTTCCAAATTATGCTCTACGTCTATGCCAAATTACATCCAGAGTCGTTTAGCCGTTTGGGCTACAAACTCTAACAAACATCCATCTAAACTTTCGCATTTATAATTTTAGTATGATGGAGCTTATAATTCAGTTATCATCATCATCATCCACTTGCTCTTATCCCTTACGGAGGGTCGGTACAGTATGTGCTCTTCCATACATCTCTATCATCATATCTGAATCCACCCCTTTCTTAAGCATATCCTCTTTCACACAATCCATACTTTCTTCGGTCTTACTCTTCCTTTGTAGCCATCCACATTCAATCTTAACACTTTCTGGTTTCTGGTACTACTGGATCTTATAATTCAGTAAAATGTTTTATTACATGTACGCGACGGTACTAAACTTGACAACCGACATAGTACCTTTCAGAGAAAGTACCAGTGAAAAGTTCGCTATGCGTCTTCTATACATTTTGAACCATCTTTGATTCTTGGTCAAAACATTCAACATACCTTTTGGTTAATCTTGACAGTTTTCGTTGCCTTCACGACAGTCGGCTTTGGGGCTGGCGGCGCCACGACTGGTTCTGTTTAGAAACAAATAAATATTATATTTCATAAAATACCACTGTAAGCGCCAGATACAATCTTACTAAACTGACTAAGACAGAAGAACCTCGATAACTCGGTAACTTAAAAAAATTATATGTTCCCTTCCCATCAGAACAGAAAACCTCTATTACATAGACCCTTGATAACTTAAAACCTCTATAACTTAAAATATTTTGTGTTTCCCTTGGACTTTAACTTATCGAGGATCTACTGTATTATAAATGTGAAGATTTAGATGGATGGATGGATGGATGTTGGTTAGAGTTTGGAGCCTAAACTGCTAAACGGTTCTCGGTGAAATTTGGCATAGCTGTAGAGCATAATTTGGTAGAACAAATAGGCTACTAACTTTTTTTTTTAATTCCACACGGATGGAGTAGCGGGCGAATGTTAGTCATTTATATTTTATCTTTGCAATTCCTTTTTTACTCTGTGTCTGTATTTTTTTACTATCTATGCACAATTCATAATCTATGAAGACGCTATCTCTTCAACCAACATCGCGACAACGCTGTAGCATTTTTGTAATAATTTCTATTATACAATATATTTGTATTTAAAGTAATAAGATTTGTAATCCTTATTCTACAATGAACATATTTTTAGGGAGGTACACCGATAGAGGTAGACCTAGAAAGAGATGGATGGTTTGCGTGAAAGGTGACATGATGAAAGGAGTGATGACTGAGATGACATATGATTGAGTTATTTGGATAAAGTAGGGGAGTTGATGTTAATACAATACCTGGTGGTGGTGGCTGCACCCTGCCCTGCTGCTGCGGCTGTAACGGTGTCCTCTTCTCTTCTAGAAGAGAAGGCGGCGCCGGCGGCGGCACGCCTGTGCTGCCTCCGCGAACCTACGGGCAAAACAAACATTAACTATGCGTCGTACAAATAAGAAATCGTCACTGATGCTCGATCGACCTATCTAAACTAATATAACGAGGAAAGATTTGTATTTTTGTATGTATTAAATTATCATTAAACCCTAAGCCGATTTCAAAAATTTCATCATTAAAAGGCTACGTTACAGTAACATCTTATAAATCTTAGAAATATTATCATATAAACATTATAAATGCAAAAGTTAATGGATGGATGAATGTTTGTAAGCGTTTGTAGCATAAACGGGTGAACGCATCTCCATGAAATTTGGCACAGGTTTAGAGCATAGTCTGGAAGAACACGTATGCTACTTTTTTATCCCGGGAATAGTTACGGTTCCCGTGGGATTCATTAATTTAGTTTTTTTAATGTTTACTCGATCATCCCGCAAGGGTTTAACATATCATATTGAAATTTGGCTCAGATATAAAACAAAGTCTGGAGTTCACATGAGATAAGGTTCATCCCCGAGAAATGTACGGTTCCAGAGGGATACGTAGCTTTTTGTTATATATATAGTTTGTATGTTTTCTAATACCACGCGAACGAAGTCGCGGACGAAAGCTAGTTAATGATATAGAATACGTTATTAATTACGACTATATCAAGGACACTTTCCGTTCAGACTATTTTTACAAAGAACAACCGAATCAGCCTTATAACTGGTTTGGCATGTCGAAAATCAACGCGTGGTACAAGTCAAGAGTTAACGCGTGTTCGTGAAAACGTACTGGTTTCCCACTCCTTTTAGTGAGAATAAGCGAGACGACAGTACGATTAAAGAAGCAAATTATGATAAATGATGTGCCAAATTCCAACTCATCATCAACATTAACTTACGTAGCTTAGAACAAAATAGGGATGACAAGTTCATAGACAATCACACTGGCCTACTGCGGATTGTTTCCACTCACATCTTTTGAATTACTTCATTACATGTGCAGGTTGCATCACGATGTTTTCTTACACCATAAGAACGTCGGGTAAATCTACATATGGAATTCGAAAAACATAATATATGGTGAGAAACATGGACGTGTAGATAGCCCGCCCGTTCAAATAAGTAACAAATACGCTACCAAGACGATGATACTCTTGTATATTCTTTCTAACAAATCTTATATACGTCTATAGTCTGTATGTCTAAAAACCGTCAGCCAAGTAGGAAGTACAAACAATAAGATAAATCTCTATGAAGGCTGACATATCAATCTGATAACATGAAAAACGACATTAGTTATGTAATTTTTCACACACAACGAATGCGTCATTCAAATGTAAAAGTTATTTTATATTACGCTAGGTTTCGTCAATTTATAAAAGGTTAATTGTTTCTGAAATTAACTAACAAACTAAATTTAACAGTGATAGAGCCCGCTTAACATCTTAGCACTGCAGGGCACGCCCGGTGTAATACCACGACCACACAGAAGACAGGCGTGAAATGGAAGCAATTACGTGTTTATTCTCATGAGTGTAGTGCCGTAGGCTTAATTTAAGTCCCTTTCTCTTCACCACCCTTTTCCTATAAAAAGAGGATGGGAAGAGGAAGTGGATTTGACAGTGGAGGAGATGCATAAGAAGGGGAAATGTCCCCTTTATGTGCGTCTTCTCCTCCGTCGGATAAAGGTAGACAACGCATCTGCAATTGCGGATGTCGATGCGCAGCGGTCGCTTCGCCATTTTGGCGAATTCTGGTGGCCGGTTGCTCGTTTGCCACCTTATGTTATAAAAAAAAATGCCGAGACTCATTTTATAGTTACTTAAGTGGTACCCTAGTGAAATATCTTAGTGTCATAATATCACACATAGTTCGACACTTTGTCTTACTATTATAACAATTACTTGTGTAATTAAAAAGCATAAAGGCAAAATCTTATAACTTGTACCACATATTTTATACCAGAATTGCTTAAGCGATATTCCAGCCATGACAGACCTTGGCAACCTTGCTTCCTTGATGTTGTCAGTAACTTATGGTCTCTTTCCCACATTAGGGTTTTTACCCAAAACATTTACCCCCTAAGTTTAATGGCGTGAAATATATAGCCTAAAGTGTGACGTAAGTGTAGGGCATTTCATTAAAAATAGAATTATTCAAAAATATGCTGTAGTTCTGACATCTTAGGCAACAAAGAAGTGTGTGTTTACGCTTTATTATAATAGTAAAGATTAGTTGCCAAAGTTTATCTTGGTAACTAACTGGTAACTTATTAATAAGTCTCAGGCCGAGAATATACTTAAGGGAGTGAATTCAGATATGATGGCTGATAGAGATGTATCAAAGAGTACACTGCCAACCCTATATAAGGACAAGGGTAGGTTGATGATGATGAGCGACGAATCCTGTCTAGTTCATATTAAACAAGCTGTTGCTTGCGACTTCGCCCGCGAGAAATTAGAAAATAATACAAAATATAGCCTATGTTACTCACAGATAAATTACCTTTCTAATGGTGAAAGAATTTTTAAAATCGGCTTAGTAGGTTTTACGTAAATCGAATACATACAAAAATACAAATCTTTTCTCTTTATAAAGTATAGAAATATAAATAAAAAACATGGAACATGATAAAAATAACAAATCAAACCGCGGATTTCATGGCCCAAAATGTACACTGTATAACCGTGATCAAAGCGATGTAACTTCAAAATGGCGGTCGAATTTTTTTGCCGCCAATATCGTAACTGGTCGTTGACTCTGAAATACACGCGATGCGGTCTAGAACCATCTGGATTTGAACACTTAAAACACAAATAAAATATACCAAAAAGTGTACATTCAGTCGGTAATTTTAATCTACATTAAATTCTTCTGACAATAAATATATTTATTTGGATGAGGATTAATATCAAGACAAATAAAACACCGCCGCAAATAGTATGCGATATTTAATTGCAATTTTTTAAACAAATAAATGGTTATTGTAAGAAAACAATTAATGATAGACATATGCCATCGCGGACTTTTCCGGAAATACAAAATCTATTAAAAACCATATCCTATATTATTCACAGATAACGTAGCTTTCTATTGGTGAAAGAACTTTTAAAACCGCTCCAATACTTTTTGAGTTTATCTAATTCATACAAAAACACAAATGTCCACTTTATAATATTAGTAAAGAGAAAACAGAGATAAAAATCCACTAATAAATAGATCTATAATTACCGACAGACCATAAAGTCCTACCTACGTCATTTCAGTCGCCCCTTGACCATATCACCTTTCATGCAATCCATCCATCTCTTTCTAGACCTCATAAATTCATATTTAAGATCTGTTTTCGATGAAAAAGTATGGAACAGCGCATAGAATATTAATTATTTTAATACACGCGGACATATTCGCGGGAAACAGCTAGTGTTAACATTACATCATTACAATACTTCTACAATAAACTAATTGTAGTGATCACCGGCGTTATCACGGGACAATCACTCTAATTGTGAGATATGCATCACCTGTCTCTATTCCACTTATTGGTTGGAAAGAGACATGTGCACTTGAGTAACACCTTTATCGATAAAGATATCGCAAGACAGGCCGGTGTAGGGTGACCATGTTAATTTTAGGACTGCCTAAATTATATTATGACACCTCAATTCAATAAAAAGAACGTCAAATATATGGCACTCCTTACGGTATGAAGATTTCTAATTTATTTATTTTTACATTATGAAATAAAAGTGATGATAAAAATGGCATTAACCTAAAATATAATTAAAGTTACAGGTTCGTCTATGTACAAAAATATTTACATTTTAATTTAAAGCAAAAAAAAGAGCTACGCAATAAACAACTATTCAAAGTATCGGCTAAAAACTCTTGGACACCCTACACTTAATTCAACTTTAATACCCGATTCCATAAATCGATACAAATCGATACAAAGGTTCACAAGCAAATAATCAAGGCAACAAATATAAAGATTATTATGAACACGTGAAAATTACGCAAATTATAATCTTATATGCGATATCCGTTTACGAACTGATAAGGTTTGTCAGGAAATTATCAAAAAAACCTTGACTTACGCATAAACTTCAAATCAATAAAACACAATGAAAGATTCCAGTGGTAGAGCCCGCTTTAACATTTTCGCACTGTAGGGCTCGCCCTCAGTAATACCACGACCACACAGAAAACAGGCGTGAAGTGGAAGCATGTCCTCGTACAGTCTGATGAGTGTGGTGCCGGAGGCCTCATTTTAGTCCCTTTCCCTTACCACTCTGTTCTTGAGGGGAAAGGATGGGAAGGAAAAAGGATTTGTCGGGGGAGGGAACGCGTAGGAAGGGGAAATGTCCTTTGTGTGCGTCTCCTCCGTCAATTAATGGTAGGCAACGCATCTGCAATTGTGGATGTTTGTGGGCAGCGATCGTTCATTTCGGTGGATTCAGGTGGCCGTTTGCTCGTTTGCCATCATATGTTATAATAAAAAAAAGATAAAAAAAAATCGCAAACACAATTATAATTCAAGTATCCATTGTGCAGAATTTAACGTTATATTTCATCCTAGTATTCATCTATACTAACATTATAAAGAGGAAAGAATTTGTTTTTTTGTATGTATTAATATATCTCCAAAACTAATGGTCCGATTTTGAAAATTCTTTCACCATCAGAAAGGGAATTTATCTGTGAGTAACATAGGCTATATTTTTTTAATTTCACGCGGGCAAAGTCGCAACTAACTGCTAGTCTTATCCAAAAGAATAATATAAATTCGTTGAGCGTAGACAAGTGTAACCAACACATTTTATCACAGTCTCCAAGGCCGTAAATAATCACTAATCGTACTCAATCGATAGCCACATCGAACTACATTGCATGTTGCCAACTGATTTTATTTTTTAAACTAGCTGTTCCCGTGCGGCTTCATATGAAGTTGCAAATGTCAAAATTACTGTTACCATAATAACCTTGCTTCTTTAATGTCGGCAGCTTGTAGTTTACGGTCCCTTTCCCACA